CATACATACTCTCACTCTAAAATATCCTTGAATATATACTTTTTAATAGTAACAGTAGTTAGTCACTTACAAGCAATTTTTTAAAAGGGATAAATGGAACAAAAATCTATAACTAATTGTAATAGTTCAAACCGCTCTTCCTCTGTGTTACACTTTAACTCTTCCTGTTCGTCCCTTTCAAGGAAGAAGACATATGGCCAGTTAAACAAGGCAACAATTTTTATTTGAAAATTGCTAAATCTGCACTTTTTAACAAACTATTTGGCTCTACTCTCTACCCTCTTTCTCTCTTTCCCTCCCCCTAAACACCCAAGGACTTTCGCACAAACAATGTGAAACAACAACGATATCAAAAACATTAGTGAAAAAAAAACAATCCTTTTTAGTGGGCGCTACCTCTGAAAGGTAATGACTTCGATTTTTATGTTTTTTGCCTCTATATTTGCCACTTAACCAGCAGCAGGAGCACGAGCAGCAACCCATTTAAATGCTTGACAACTCAATTTATTGAGTTAGTATGTTGGTTGATGCGTGCAGGACGCACTTAATTAACTGTGACAATCAATTTTGAATGCAACTTATGGCTCGTTTGAAGACAAATTCATTTCGTTTGAAAACTTTATCAATAGCAGTTTTAATGCACAGACAAACCATACACAATGTTTTCAAAATAGTAATTCAAATAGATTTTTTTTAGATTTTTGAAATTTCAACTTACTTGTTTTGTTACGGAGTCTATTAGTCTGACGAAAATATCCTGTTCTTGGCGGGCACCTGAAATAGAAATAGAGGAAAAGTAAATTAAGAAGTCAAAGGAAAACAGACCTAAACTAGAGCTGGACTGAAATAGAACTGAACTAGAACTGAACAAGAACTGAACAAGAACTGAACAAGAACTGAACAAGAACTGAACAAGAACTGAACAAGAACTGAACAAGAACTGAACAAGAACTAAACTAGAACTGAACAAGAACTGAAAAACTGAACTAGAACTGAACTAGAACTGAACTAGAACTGAACTAGAACTGAACTAGAACTGAACTAGCACTGAACTAGAACTGAACTAGAACTGAACTAGACTGAACTAGAACTGAACTAGAAACTGAACTAGAACTGAACTATAACTGAACTAGAACTGAACTAGAACTGAACTAGAACTGAACTAGAACTGAACTAGAACTGAACTAGAACTGAACTAGAACTGAACTAGAACTGAACTAGAACTGAATTAGAACTGAAGATAGAACTGAACAAGAACTGAACTAGAACTGAACTAGAACTGAACTAGAACTGAACTAGAAACTGAACTAGAACTGAACTAGAACTGAACTAGAACTGAACTAGAATGAACTAGAACTGAACTAGAACTGAACTAAACTAGAACTGAACTAGAACTGAACTAGAACTGAACTAACTGAACTAGAACTGAACTAGAACTGAACTAGAACTGAACTAGAACTGAACTAGAACTGAACTAGAACTGAACTAGAACTGAACTAGAACTGAACTAGAACTGAACTAGAACTGAACTAGAACTGAACTAGAACTGAACTAGAACTGAACTAGAACTGAATAGAACTGAACTAGAACTGAACTAGAACTGAACTAGAACTGAACTAGAACTGAACTAGAACTGAACTAGAACTGAACTAGAACTGAACTAGAACTGAACTAGAACTGAGCTAGAACTGAGCTAGAACTGAACTAGAACTGAACTAGAACTGAACTAGAACTGAACTAGAACTGAACTAGAACTGAACTAGAACTGAACTAGAACTGAACTAGAACTGAACTAGAACTGAACTAGAACTGAACTAGAACTGAACTAGAACTGAACTAGAACTGAACTAGAACTGAACTAGAACTGAACTAGAACTGAACTAGAACTGAACTAGAACTGAACTAGAACTGAACTAGAACTGAACTAGAACTGAACTAGAACTGAACTAGAACTGAACTAGAACTGAACTAGAACTGAACTAGAACTGAACTAGAACTGAACTAGACTGAACTAGAACTGAACTAGAACTGAACTAGAACTGAACTAGAACTGAACTAGTACTGAACTAGAACTGAACTAGAAATTAATATGAGCAGAAGTATAAGAAGCAGTACTCCAAATTTATTAAAACAATGTTGTACTTACCATTTGCATAGAGTAATTGTAGTCGATATTGTATTCCATTATTGGTTTTTGTAGAATCTGATTCAGAATCTTTTTCAATAAATCCTATAAAAGCAGTCCTTTCGATTTCAATGGGTTGGCCAGCACGATCATAGAGAGCAATAACAAAATGGAAAAAATTTGATTTTCTCAAGTTGCTGGGTGGTTGCTTCTCAAAGTGAGCTCTACCAATGCCCAAGCTGAAAAATAAAAAGAAAAAAATTAAAATTTTTATTAATTTTTTAATAGTAAATTTATATAAAAAAAAAAAAAAAAAAACTATTTAAAACGTTTTCCTATGGAGTTTCTTTCATCATATGTATGTAACTTGATTGTGTCTCCTGTCAATAAACAACACCTTATAATTATAGTTTAAAACATTTAAATACAAATTATGCTCAATTTCCCTTCATCAGCTTCTTAAATAAGACATTAACAGGAAATAAACCCCAAAAAACATGTTTTAACAAAGTTTAACATGTGTAAGAGAAAGTGTAATTGTATAAAGATCATTTGTTTAAGTTAATTATGTTTAATAAACTTGTCTAATAGTTTAATAATTGCAAGTAAAATAATATAATTTTATAAGAGCGTGTGTCAAGTACAAGTATTTAGTGTGTCACACACATTCTGCTGTTACTTGATGACATGTCCTTTTTCCTTTTGCTTAATTACAGGTTTGACACAGTGTGCAAACAAACTAAATGAAAAAATAAAATGACCTAAAATGAAGTGTATAGTACAATACCACCAAATTATTTATAATAATAACAACAATAATAAAATAAGGATTGTTAGAGCATGTAAACACAAAATGTCACCATATTGTTTTCTTTATTAACAGGACGGACTTAACTGTTTTTCTTTTTGGGCTAAGCAAATATTGTAATTGTTCACAAGAATAATTGCACATTCAAATGCACAAGTAAACTACAAAAAAAAAAAAAAAATATTATGATTATATCAACATTTTGTTTGAATACAACAATTTTTATTATTTGCTTACATTCTTCAACAATTTCTATTTCCAAACAAACAACCAAACAAACATGAAGAGAAACTAACAATTAAAATGTTAAAGAAAATAATAAAAGTGCAACATACATATGTATGTATGTGTGTTTGTGTGTCTATATTTATATATGAGTAGGTTTGTAAGTATGTTAAATGTCAATATATCACTTTATACACAAATACCACAGAATGAAAAAAATACACTGTTCATATCCTTTCATTTATCCATTCATTAACGGTTTAACTAAACAAAAGCTAAACAAACATGATGTTAGACAAGGATATTGTACAAGTTTTAATACATGTTTGAATGTGTGTTTGTAATGGTAGTAGTACACCTACATATCAGCCCACATGAGTCAATTTTTATACATTTATACGTACTACAGCATATCCTTGCTGTTCCTTTTTATCGTTATTCTGTTAGCAGTCGAAGAGCAACAAAAACAAAAATTATTACAACATTTGTCTTTTGATGGTTAGTTGAGATACACCAAGTCCTCTTTTGTCACTAGAGAACTGGAATAACTAAACTGAACAAGAATTCAATTAGAACTGAACTAGAGCTGAACTAGAACTGAACTAGAACTGAACTAGAACTGAACTAGAACTGAACTAGAACTGAACTAGAACTGAACTAGAACTGAACTAGAACTGAACTAGAACTGAACTAGAACTGAACTAGAACTGAACTAGAACTGAACTAGAACTGAACTAGAACTGAACTAGAACTGAACTAGAACTGCACTAGAACTGAACTAGAACTGAACTAGAACTGAACTAGAACTGAACTAGAACTGAACTAGAACTGAACTAGAACTGAACTAGAACTGAACTAGAACTGAACTAGAACTGAACTAGAACTGAACTAGAACTGAACTAGAACTGAACTAGAACTGACTAGAACTGAAACTAGAACTGAACTAGAACTAGAACTAGAACTGAACTAGAACTGAACTAGAACTGAACTAGAACTGAACTAGAACTGAACTAGAACTTAACTAGACTACTAGAACTGAACTAGAACTGAACTAGAACTGAACTAGAACTGAACTAGAACTGAACTAGAACTGAACTAGAACTGAACTAGAACTAACTACTAGAACTGAACTAGAACTGAACTAGAACTGAACTAGAAACTGAAACTAGAACTGAACTAGAACTGAACTAGAACTGAACTAGAACTGAACTAGAACTGAACTAGGAACTGAACTAGAACTGAACTAGAACTGAACTAGAACTGAACTAGAACTGAACTAGAACTGAACTAGAACTGAACCTAGAACTGAACTAGAACTGAACTAGAACTGAACTAGAACTGAACTAGACGACTGAACTAGAACTGAACTAGAATTGACCTAGAACTGAAATAGAACTGAACTAGAACTGAACTAGAACTGAACTAGAACTGAACTAGAACTGAACTAGAACTGAACTAGAACTGAACTAGAACTGAACTAGAACTGAACTAGAACTGAACTAGAACTGAACTAGAACTGAACTAGAACTGAACTAGAACTGAACTAGAACTGAACTAGAACTGAACTAGAACTGAACTAGAACTGAACTAGAACTGAACTAGAACTGAACTAGAACTGAACTAGAACTGAACTAGAACTGAACTAGAACTGAACTAGAACTGAACTAGAACTGAACTAGAACTGAACTAGAACTTAACTAGAACTGAACTTGAACTTGAACTGAACTGAACTGAACTGAACTAGAACTGAACTTGAACTTGAACTGAACTAGAACTGAACTACATCTAAACTAGAACTGATCTAAACGTGTAAAACTAGACTGAACTAGATCTAAACTAGAACTGATCTAAACGTGTAAAACTAGACTGTGGTGTAACTTTACAGAAATACACACTCGTGGGGATAAATAGGGAACTTTAGTAGTGCTGGTGAAAAATGATTTTAACAAATGTGTATTTTTTTAAATTCTGCTATTTTTCTTTACTTAATTGTTCCAAAAGAAAAATTGAGAAACTTAACGTACTATGTACAATTTAATTTGCAATTCGCTGACTTTTCGGTTTTTTAGAAATGTTTTATGGTTGAGTTTTCTGGTTTCATCGTCTATTTTGAAACACCTAAGACAATTGAATATACTAGAATGTATATGTTGACATGAGATTAAGGGGAAAATGTTAAATATTGAAGGTGATATTGGTAAAATTTTCAAGTAGTAAAATCAACTTCTTCCGAAGTGCTATTTGCTAATGTTACTGCAGACTTTTTTTTAATGTATATTTTAATTTTTAAACTGATTTGGTTTAATTTTTATTAAGTAAATTAGTTTTATTCACAAATATTGTATGGAATTTGCAAATAAGATTTTTTAGCCTTTCACTTTAAACTTTTTTTTGGCATAAAATTTTGTATGCGTATCTGAACCAATATGGATAAATAAAATATTATATACAATAAAGTTAACGAGCCTTTTTCATATTATTTTTTTTTTTTTATTTTATTTTTTGGGTAATACAATCTTTTGGTTTCTGCAGTATTTTCAACATTTGGAACTGAATTTTAAAATGTGTGAGAGAAGTACACAAACATTTGTATAGATGTATGTACATATGTGTATTATATCTGCTTGTAATGGTGTATTGTAAGGTAATAACTTTTTTTCTGAGAGGTTTTTATTGTCTGAATTTTCTGTGCATGTGTGAACATAAATAAAAATGATACACATAAAAATATCCTGGCTTTTTATTGTTGTTGCTGCTATTTGCTGCCTTTCATACAGTTTGGCTACCATTGTTGCTGCTACTGCTGTTATCAAATTTTTCTCATAAATCACGGTCATTATATTTGCATTCGATTTATTTACCTATCGACCTTGTCAATTAGTCAAATAATATAAAAAAATTACACACATACATACATATACTTTCATGTATAAACAAGGTAAAGTATATAAAAATACTTGATATAGTGTTTAAAAAGGAGTTTCCGTAACGTGACCATTAACCCAATAAATATTTATTTTCATAGCGTTTCGTTAAGGTCTCTTCTTAGTCAAAATGGGATAGTTATATATAGTTTGTTCCAAAAGGAAATTCTAGAAAAAAGTATAATTTGCTGAAAAGAGAGATTGATCGATATCCTTGATCCCCATTTTGTTTCATTTCTTAAACTCTACTTTACCAACTACTACATACTACTTTTATAAGATTTATTCTGTTTTAATATTGAAAACTGTAAGATGTTGGTCACATTTAACTGTTTTAACTTGCATACAAGTAATGTGCACCATCCAATAAAGAGTGAAACACTGCCTTCCACATGTGCGAGATTGGTTATGTCCAAATAAAAACTTTTTATAAAGTTCGATATCTTTTACAATATAAATTACATTTTATTACATTTCACATGTATATAATTCAGCAATACTTTAACAAATATACATGGTGCTAAAGTATAAAAACTACTACTACTAGAGAATATCTTTGTACAACACAGGTAAGTAGCAACAACAAGTACTTGTAACTACAAAAGTTTACAAATAATTATTCCTATAACAAAAGAAGGAAAGGCAATGAGAAAAGAAGAAAATAAAGGAAAATAAAAGGAAATTCTCAACAATTATAAAATAAAAAAGCACTTGTAAGGAAATTTAACATTGGATTTTAAGTTAGAGTTTTTGAAAGTTGAAGTTAAACAAACAACTAAACTGTGTGTGTTTGAATAAAGTCAATTTACAAGGAAAAAAGATAACAATTGCTATGAATTGAATTCAAATACAAAACAAACCAAAAGGTAACATAAAAAAACAACAACATCAGCCAACAGCAATAATAAAACTTAAAGGTACGAATGAGTATGATTTAAATAAAACATAAACACCAGCAACAACAACAACAGCAGGAGCAGGAGCAACTGAACTTTTCATATACACACACACAACTACACAGGCGGAAACGGAAACGGAAAAAGTCAATACAAGTTTACTTTTTTTCAAACCATTTTTTCACCATTTCTTTTTTACTCTCAGTATAATGATTTTTTTACTCATTTGTTATATTTTTTTGCAATTCTTTTAAATTCATTTCAAAAATATTAAATATTATTTTTGTTTATGTTTTAAATTTGTAACTCCTTCACCTTAATAATTTGCCATTAACACTTTGTTGACGGCCATTTTGTGTGGCCGTCGCTGTTTGTGAAAATCCCGCGGTCATTTTTACGTACTGTATTTCTTCGATATTGTCACTTTTCTTATTTGTATTGGCGTTTCTTAATAAAAACATCTCACTTGATATACATCTCTATTTACACTAATAAGATGCTTAAAGCTTCTCGGAAAACAAACACAAATATGTTTAACTAAGAAAAATCCCCCAAAAAAATATCTCAATGAACTTGAAAAGCAACCCTCTTTTATTGTATTTCCTCCTCTGGCCCTTATCCTTTAGCTTTCAAACATTTACTCAGCATTAAAATGTTAAGAAAAATACATTCAAAATACGCACAAAAATAATACATGAAATACTCGTTAACCCCCCCAAAAAAAGAAAAGCGAAAAGTCGTAAATGCTATTTATCCTGTTTACTGTACAAGCACGCACTTGTAGGCATTTTTTGGGGGATGTTTAAAAAAAGAAGCTTTTTTGTTGGTATTTTTCTAAATCATCTTACTATAGGTAGCGTAAACAGCTACTATGGTTTGTCGAAAGGTTTGAAACGAAGACTGAACTTACCGAAAATGTCCGTTCCTATAATATTTGAAACTTATTTCTGCAGCGACCCCTATTTAGTCCCAGCTGTATTTATCGGAAGCTTATTTCACAAGAAAGAATTTAGGAAACTAGTAGATCTGTTGCAGCATTAATTGGAATTTTTACTAATATATTTTAAATTATATTTCGAAAAGTTTTTAATTAATAAATGCTCTATTCTGATTACATATGTAGATAAAACTTGGACCTCATTCACAAGATATTGTAAATATAAAAGAAAATTTCACAATAGTTTCAAACTTTTTTTATAATTTGTATGTACTGAGTGCTCCGGTAGACTAGTTGCTAGCGAGCTAGTCTATCAGTCTGGGGGTCTTTGGTTCGATTCCCAGCAGAGACTCTAGTCTGCTGCACTACAAAAAGATTATGGTCATCGTAACCATATATAGGTTTAGATTTCTTATAAACTGCTCTCCAAATTCGACCATTGCCTAGACACGACATTATTTACTTTCTACATCTTTTGGTTGCCATTGTTGTAGTTGTTGTTTTTGGGATACAAAGTTAATAAACAAAACATTTCTTATGATAAAAAGTAACATTTACAATTTCTTCCCCCAAATTTTAAGAATTGTATATTTTGAGTGAAATAATTATTTGTTTTTGTTTGTTTTTTTTAGTGATAAACAATAGAACTCAAATTTTGAGTTCTTTTTTGAAGTACTTTTTTTGGGTACTTTTTTTTTGGAGTAATATAAAAACAAAGAGAAAAGTTTTAAAGTTTGTTTTTTATTTTGGGTAATTTTTATGTGGTGTTGACATGCTATGTAAAGACCCTTAGGCCTAATTTGTTGGCGGTATAAGTAACACTCTTAAAATTGAAAACTTTATAGACAAAAAGCTAAAAATAAACAAAGGACTCTTGATTGTGAATGAATGTAATTTTGTTTCTTAAGGATTTGAGATAATTTGATTAACATTAAAGTGGTCAAAAAGAGAGAAAGTTAGGGGAGAGGTTGGCAAAGATGTTTAGTTGAAAGTAAGTGCGTAGATCAATTATGAGAGATTAAGCAAGCTTTAAATCAGTGGTCAGCATTCATATACTGCAGGGTTCAAGAGATATCTAATTTTTACTAGCAAACAACACAAAATTTATAAAAAAACAAGTACTTTTAAAATAATCATTATCTTTCTACCAAGAGTACTTTTCAAAGAACAGGTCCAAAACTAATCTTAAAATAGGTAAATACCACATAAACCATCTATGCATTACATCACAGTAATCCAATACAAATCTACTCCTTTGCTAAAATTATGGGAGTATATGATCCGCAACATGGTCCTACGTTGTTTAAAAAAGCATGGTCCATGCATTACATAGGACTACTAAGCGGATCACGTACTAAAATAAGGTTACAGCATTACCCTGCTGTAGTGCTTGGATGAGTTTTATTTGATTTGCCGCAGCAAGCACATAAGTTTGATCAGAAATTGGGTTTAAATTCAAGTCCAAGCTTTACACAAAAATAAATTTGTTGAAAATGTTGCGTCATAAGAGCTTTGAAAAGAGAATTTGCACTTCTATAAATGGTTTGGAAAAAATTCCTTTAACGTTTGTTTTTAAGTTTATTGGATATTTTTATAACGAACAATTTTTCTCAGATCAAACATTACGTTTACAACACGTTGTAAAAATAACATTTATTAGCTTTTTCTCAAAACACATTGAACAACACTACTCTACACAAAGATCTTAAATCATTAACGCTTTAAAACCACCTTGTTTCCCCCACACTCAAATTATCATTATTATAGTTTTTTGTACATACTTGCTTTGATCGACGACAGGTTGCATCCAGGCTCTGGCACCCAACGGCTCTTCTTTTAACGAGGTCATGGGTCCGCGCGGTTGATTCATATCCGCCGCTGTAGGTGGCAGACCAAACATTAGGCCGCCAGCCGTGCGAGGAGCTGCGGTGGGATATAGTTTGCGACCCCATTCTAAATCGAGTGTGGGCCAGGGTGAAGCCGAGCTAAAACCCGGCACAGCTTCGTCGGAACGCAGTTTGAAGCTGTTTATTTCACCGCAAATAGAAAAAATTTAATCAAACTTTTTTTGTAAGCTTTAATTAAGCTTAAATAACTCAATTTAAAAACACCAATTAAAGATTTTTTTCTCACACAAATATTTTGTTTTTGTTCAATTGCACAAATGATTTTTCTTTTAAAAGATCGTTTAACAACACTTTTATTTGTGCTTTATAAATGGTTTTGTTTTATTTTTTTAATAATTTGTTTACACACTTTAGTTTATGGTATTTTTTTTTTATTGACAGTCTTGTGGGTGATTATGATTATTGTTGTATTATTATTTTATTTGTTTTCTTTTTTTGTATTAAAGTATCAATGCACCGTTGAGAATTTGGGATTTTAAAAACAAGTTGTTTTGGTTGCTGTTTGTAGTAAGAGTAAAACAATTTTAAGCGCGATCTACCGTCCCGAGTGACAGTTAAACCCCAACTGAATCCCGCAATGTAATAATATGAAACGACGACAATCTTATGACTCTAGGTTCAATCACAAGCGCACTCTATAGTCACAGTGAAACACAACGGACACAATTCAACAAACAACCACGCAACGCATCGCAACACGGCACAGAACAGCACAGCACAATATAACACAGCCACTGCTCAAATGTGTAGAAGACAGACACAACAGGCAGTCTCACAGCAATGACAACGACTACTACTGCTACAACTACTACTACCACTACTACTATTGCTGCTGCTCATAGAGCTCTTTGTTGTATTGTGTGAGTGTGTATGTGTTTGTTCGTTGCATGAACGGAAACGAAACGGAACTGAACTTGTTCCAACAAATATACACACACCCATACGTCTATGCTAGAAGGCAAACATACACACGCACTTATTACCACCTTTATGCAACCAACAAACGCAGATAGAACAAGAAATTCACTTGCAACAATGCCTACCACCTTCTGTAAGGAGTGCGTGTGTGTGTTGCTTTGTTGGTCTGTCCATTGCTTTAGCTTTTGTCTGTCTAGAGATTTGAAAAGCAGCAGCATTATCGACTGCATTGGTATGTTCAGCCAGCCATATGGAATTCTAACTAACCTATCATCATGCAACCAAGTGTCTAGGAAATTCTCCTATGGTTGCTTTCTTTGTTGAGATCACTAACAAAAGAACGCGCACCGCAACAGACCGACCCAACCCAGACGTATGGAAAATAGGTGATGTAGAGAATCCACTGAGATATGCGCGCTACGTTTTTGGACAAGAGGCAGGCTACTTTGTTTGTCTTATTCTTCTAGTGAAATTGTTAAGAGCGCCAAGTATAGCTGTCACCGACGCATCAGCAATAACAAGAACAACAACAACAACCACCACTACCACATTCTTAAAACCAAACAACAACACCAACAGGAGCAAGAATTGCCTCTTGTGCAACAACAGTAATAACTTGTGGGACTTGCCCTCCTCACTTTCAGTCGAGTGACAGGTAAGTCTCTTAAGTAGAACAAAGAAAGAAAATAACATTTGTTGTTGTCTTTTTGTTTTATTTGCTCAGTTTGTAAGCGTATATACAAGAGTGTGAGAGAGATAGAAAATTTATTGTCTCAACTAAATATGGGAAAGTAAGGAATGTTATGAAAAATGAAACAAATCCCGTTTGTGTGGCAAACAAGTGCATGTGATTTTCTTAATTTGTCCACTAAAGTTGACCCATTTTTTATAGAGAATTATTGTTTTTAATTTTAATTTGTTTTTTTTTTATTTTCACCAAAAACCTCTATTGTTTTATTTAACATTCCCTTAGGAGAAATGTGTGTAATAATTCAACCTCAAACTCTCGAGTGTGATTGGCAGTAGTTCAAATCTCTGGTGATTGGCTGCTACTTTCCAGTCACTAGAGACATGCGCCTTTGCAACCACCATTATCAGTGAAGAAACAAATGGTTATGAAACACTGCTAAACCAAGTCGATAAGGCAGTGTTATAGAGCTGTTTTCATAATTTAATTAAATGTGTTTTACTTTGAAGGAATGTAATGGAATTTTGTATTATTTTTTGTTGTCGTTTTTGTAACTATACAATTTCGTCTCATACATTTTTTATACCATAGATTCATTCATTCCCATTGGCTACTGCTGTCACTGTTACTAAATATTTACAATTTATTTCATTAGTAGATGTTTCATATTTTTATTTAAATCTATTATTTATTCCCTTGTAATATTTGCTAGTGATTTTATTTGTACTTAGGTGCCTTCCATTCAGACATTTCTAAGCAGTCGTGTGTTACAGAGGTCACCTTAAAGGACCAAAGATTATTTTTTCCTTTTTAGTAAATATAAGGAATTGTTGCTAGGTTGCTATTTACTAAATATACATACATATGTAGTTAGTAGTTAGGGAGGAGCTTAAATTTAGTATATTATTTACTTTTCTTATATATATTTGCAGATGTTTGGGAGGTTTAGTTCACAATCATTTTAAGATGTGACTTGTTATTTGGAGGCAACTAATTACATTTTGTTTCTTTTATTTCTAATATTTGGTGCCATTTTGTAGTGGTTACAATGTTCGACTTTTTAAATCAAAACTATAAAGATTTAAGTTTGTAAAACGAAAGAACAATTCTGTGGTAACATGGAAAAAGTGCATATTTTAAATTATATAAAAATGCATTTTTGGAATCTCTTAATTAAAAAATGAAAATCAATTCAAACTAAAATTATCATACGAAACGTTTCATAAATTATCAATAAAGTGATTTCTTCTTTATATTTGAAATAAAAATTGTTCTCAAAAATATTAGACAGTTCTGAGAGTTTTTGAAACAACTTTGATTTTAACTGGACGTAAAAATGTCCTAATAATTTTCCAATCAGTGTTCGTGAGGAATGTTATATCCGGAATAGTATTACTCCCGAGATATTTGGATCTAATTTCGATGAATGCCTGACAATGGCAAAGGAAGTTATCCAGAGTTTCTCTGAGCTCTCCACATGCTCTACATTAGTCTGAATCCGCATGTTCAATTTTGTGTAGCTGTGCCCGTAATCCTGTGTGTCCACTCAGAATACTAACCTCCGATTTGTTCATTTTGAGGAGATTTTTACTCTTGTTCTCATTAGGGTTATCCCATAGAATCTTTGTGCTTCTACCAACCGTTTCATTCTTCCGAAAGGTCGAATGGGATTCTCTCACCCATATTTTGAATTCAGCCTTCGTTGCGTCGAATGGTTTTGCGTTCGTCAGGTTAAATACCTTGAGCTCCCTTCCCTTTCGTTGCCGACTACTCCCGAGTGGCCTGGTTCCCATATGATGTAAACCTTAGTTCTGGGAGAGTATTCATTTAAAGCTTTCTTACAATCCAATACGGTCTTAGATTTAACTTTATCACCTAATATTGCCCTAATAGCCTTCTGGCTGTCGGAAAATATGTTAAGCCCTGTGGGAGCCATATTTATTCGAGTCCAATGGAAGCTTGGGTTGTGATTAGGTAAACGGTTGTATATCTCTGTTTCTGGGTCTTTAATATAGAACCCCAGGCCCACTTTGTACCCTAATGTAGAACCATCCGCAACGGATTCCTCCCAAGCTCGCTGCTGAAATAAATGTGTTTAGGTTCAATCTTAGAATCGTATTTTAGCTTTAAACGTTGATCTTTGTACAGACCAATCAGAGCTTCAGTCTTTGAAATACCAGAGATATTTATTGCTTTATAAGCCAACACTAACTGGTTCGAATCAAAATATATAAACATATAGGTATTATTATAGCATTTTAATATAGCGAAATATAACATTCTTACTCTGCATTCTAAATTTCCCTTAGATGATATATGTACATCTACCACAAAACCTCAAAAGAATCCTTTAATTTCTAAACATCTACTCATCATATTTTACATATAAAATAAAACAGAGTTTTAAGTAAAATCTACACATAGCTGTGATATCTTTTTTGGAATTTCTAAATTATTGTAATTATTAAAGTCGTTAGAACGTCATCAACACCGTATCGGCAAGATTTAGCAAACAAGCATGTAAATTAAAATCATACATTCGTAGTGATACCCAGCCTGCCCTGCTGGATTGTGTTTGTGGTTTTCTTGTGTTCATTTTGTTTTAGAAACAGTCATTGCTATTCTAAGAGAAAAAGTGTTAACCAGAATATGACCTGCCGTTTTCATGACCCCTTTGGTTTCTCATATTCCTTTTTTGTTGTTGCTTTCTAATTGTAGGGGTGTGTTAATCCCATTAGGGAATTTTAACGCTACAAACAACACAAAACCGCATACAGTCAAGTCAGCCGAGCCAGTCAGTCATTTAGTCAACTCATTTCATTGCTGCTGACAAAGTTTGTAGCAAGATAGAAAAAAAAGAACAAACTTAAAATTTTACACCCTTTTACTCACTCTCTTTTATAATTCAACTACTGTTTTTTTGTCCTTTTTTTGTATACTGTCTCTAAAAGGAGGTTGGCAGCATGTACTCCTTGCTGTTGGGTGTGATTTTCTGCTTAAAACCACAAATTTTTAATACCATCTTATGAGTATTTGAATTTCATTGTAATTGACTTTAGTTTAACTATTTGAGAGATTCTTTGTAAAATGTACGAAAAATAGAGTTGTTTGCATGTAATTCCTCTTTTTATGATTGTTTTTTGTTTTTTAATAATCCTTATTAATGCTAAGGAAGATAAATATTTGGAAAATACGGTGCTTTGTGTAGAAAAAAGAAAAAAATAATTGAATAATATGTAAATAAACATACATCAACTTGAACAAATACTGTTTCAACGATTAAAATTGTTAATTGAAATAATAAATACAAAAGCTTGATATAGAGAAGGTGAGGAATCGGTAACTAACTTATAACCGAACTAGAACTGAACTAGTACTGAACTAGAACTGAACTAGAACTGAACTAGAACTGAACTAGAACTGAACTAGAACTGAACTAGAACTGAACTAGAACTGAACTAGAACTGAACTAGAACTGAACTAGAACTGAACTAGAACTGAACTAGAACTGAACTAGAACTGAACTAGAACTGAACT